AAGTGTAGTATGTGTATGCCACAACAGTACCCAGTAAGTGTCAAGCCTAACCTCGGTAGAGTAGTGACGAGGTCAGGTCAGGGCCCTACTGGAATAAAAAGGAAACAAAGCAGAATATATAACAATATAATGAAATGACTGCGAATTTAAACAGTGAGAAATTACAGCAGGGTAACAACACAACAAATAAAGGTAAACAATAGGGGCGCTCCCAAGGTACCGTCTCGTAGTCCCAAATATAAATACACAATAGGGGGAACTCCCGAGGTACCGCCTCGTAGCCCCAAAAGTAAATATGCAACATGGGCACTCCCGGGGTTCCGCCACATAGTCCCAAAGTATATTCACAACAGGGGGAGTTCCCGAGGTACTGTCCCGTAATCCCAAAAGTAAATATACAACAGGGGCGCTCCCGAGGTACCGCCTCATAGTCCCAAAGTAAATACACACTCATAACCTATGGAACAATGAATTTACAGCAAGGAATCCTCCTACAGCTAAAGACTGAATACAAAATCAAGGAAGCAGGTAATTCAACTAAGCATGTTGCAGAAATTGCACGTAAGAGTTAAGACACATAGACATGCTTCATTAGGCTAAACACGATGACTACACATGTTAGAGAAACTCAGTTAAGGAATTGAAAGAAAACTACTCAGCAAGAACCAGATTTTTCAACATTTAACCCGAGTACGCACTCATCACCTCACGAACACAGCCTTCACGTATTGCAAATACCATAACAGTACCAAAACCTAAGGGTAGTTTCCCCCACATAAGGTTAGACAAGTCACTTACCTCAAACCAAGCTCAATCAGTCAATAAGAATGCCTTTCCCTCGATTTTTCAACTCCGAACGGCCCAAATCTAGCAAAAAGCAATTACATACTATGAATACATCTACAAGAAACTAATTTAAATAATAAATCTACGACTTAAGCAAAGAATCAAAAATTGCCCCAAAAAGTCAATCCGGGCCCACGTCTCGAATCGGGTAAAAGTCACAAAATACGAACACTCATTCGATATAGAATTCACCCATACCAAAATTACTAAAATCCGATATAAAATGTTTGATCAAAACCTCAAAATTCGGCCTAAGGATTTTTCCACCTTTTTCACACGTTTCTCAACCTAAATCCTTAATTAAATGAAGAATAAATGATATCTTAGTGGAGATTAATCAAAAACAAGTCAAGAATCCTTACCCAAATATTTTCTCTGGAAATCCCTCGAAATTTCGCCTCAATCCGAGCTCTCTTCGTTCAGAAATGAAGAATGAAATCAAACCCTCGGACTTAGGCCTTTTCTGCCCAGTGAATTCGCACCCGCAAACCCACAGCCGTTTTTGCGGCTATGCACCTACAGAATTTCCATCGCATGTGCGGTTCTCACTTAGTCCATACACGTCCGCTTCTGTGGACCCAAATGCGTATCTACACTTCCGCTCCTGCGGCCAAGGAGCACTTATGCGCATGCGCTCTTGCGGACCAAGTCCGCTTTTGAGCTCATCCTTCCGCAGAAGCGACACCGCTTTTGCGACCTCCTCGTAGTACCTGTGACCACTGGCCACCTTCTCCAGCCCCACATCTGTGCCTACCCGCTCTCTTCTGTGAGCTCGCACCTGCGGTCAAACTTGCGCAGGTGCGATTGCACCAGAACTGGTGCACTTCAGCCATTCTCTAAGCCTCAACTTGATCCGTTAATCATCTGAAACCAATCCGAGACCCCCGGGACCTCGTCTGAATATACAAACAAGTCCTAAAATATCATACGGACTTAGTCGAGCCTTTAAATCACATCAAACAACGCTAAAAATATGAATTGCACATCGATTCAAGCCTAATGAACTATAAAACTTCGAACTTCTACATTCGGCACCGAAACCTATCAAATCAAGTCCGATTGACCTCAAATTTTGCACACAAGTCATAATTGACATTACTGACCTATTTCAACTTCCGAAATTAGAATCCAACCCCGATATCAAAAAGTTCACTCCCGGTCAAACTTTCAAAAAATTATTCAATTTTCCAACTTTCGCCAATTAAAGCCAGAATGACCTACAGACCTCCAAATCAACATCCGAGCATGCTCCTAAGACCAAAATCACCCTATGGAGCTATTGGAACTGTCAAAACTCCATTTCGGAGTCGTCTTCACACAATTCAAACTATGGTAAATTCCTAAAACTTAAACTCCCAATTTAGAGACTGTGTGTCCTATTCCACTCCAAAACTCTCCTGAATCCGACACTAAGCACCCGGGCAAGTCAAAAAACCCAAAAATGAAATAGATGGATCAATAAATAGAGGTTCGGGGCTAATACTCTCAAACAATCGCCCGGATCATTACATCCTCCACCTCTTAACACAAGCATTCGTCCTCGAATGAGTATAGAGACATACCTGAAGTGGTAAAAATATGAGCATAACGGCTGCGCATATCATTCTCGGTCTCCTAAGTTGCCTCCTCGACCGGATGATCCCTCAACTAAACTTTCACTGAAGCGATGATCTTTGCTTCAACTTTCGGACCTGCCTGTCCAAAATGGCCACCGACTCCTCAACATAAGATAAATCCTTTTCCAACTGGACTGAGCTGAAGTCTAACACATGGGACGAATCGCCATGATACTTTCGGAGCATGGAAGCATGGAACACTGGATGAAATGCAGTGAGACTAGGTGGTAGTGCAAGTCTGTAAGCCACTTCTCCAACCCTCTCAAGAATCTCAAAAGGCCCGATATACCTAGGATTCAACTTGACCTTCCTCCTGAACCTCATAACACCTTTCATGGGCGAAACCCGGCGCAAGACCCGCTCCCCAACTATGAATGCAACATTGCGAACCTTCCGATCCACGCAACTCTTTTGCCTGGACTGGGCTGTAAGAAGTAGATCCTAAATCAATTTAACATTTTCCAAAGCATCCTAAACCAAGGCTGTACCCAATAGCCTAGCCTCGCCCGGCTCGAACCAACCCACTAGAGACTGGCACTGCCTACCATACAAAGCCCCATACGGTGCCATCTAAATGCTCGACTGATAACTCTTGTTGTATGCAAACTTCGCAAGTGGCAAGAACTGATCCCAAGAACCTCTAAAATTCATCACACACACACACACAAAGCATATCCTCCAACGTCTGCATAGTGTGCTCGGACTGTCCGTCTGTCTTAGGGTAAAATATTGTGCTCAACTCCACCCGAGTACTCAACTCATGCTGTACGGCTCTCTAGAATCGCAATGTGAACTGCGTGCCCTAGTCAGAGATGATAGATACCGGCACGCCATGAAACATAACAATCTCGCGAATGTAAACCTAAGCTAGCTGCTCCGAAGAGTAAGTAGTAACCACAGGGGAAAACAGGGCGCAATTACACAAAATGACCAATCGAGTCATTACAATTGTAAAACTATTAATAAATGTGAATGTCCACTGCTCCTATTATTTTTACCCATGATGTAAATAACCTCTCACTATTTCCACTACTAATCACTGTTACAGTTGTAACCCCCACACCTCCATAGCCTCTCTCCATGATCCCAATTATTAATGCCATGTTTAAGACAGTCCTTTTGTAACCTTCTATGTAATAGTATAAATAGAGTCATGAAATGTGATATGTGATACACCCGAACACTTAAAATAAGAAAGTTATCTCTTCTTCTCTTATTTTATTACTTATCTTCTTGTTTTATATTGTTACTTTGAGCTATATTTCTTAACATATAGTAGTATTTTTTTTATTTTTTTTATTTTTTAAGGAAAATAAGAGCAACAAAACAACATAAAGTTACAAATGGGAGCATTTGAATACATACAACATTTGTCAATTTAAAATCAGTTTCATTATCCACAGAAGAAAAATAAAAAATTATGAGTCGGTAAGTGTCATATCTCAAATTACAAGAAAAGTAAGTGTTACAAAGACAAATCTAGATGGAGGTTTTCAAAATTATCTCTGAAAATATGTGACTATAAATATAATATATAACTTCAGGTTAAAGATATTAAATAGTCCGAATGAGAAGTTTATATATTCTTATATTGTACTTTGATATTGTATTTGACTATATATTAATTAGGTATATCTGACAGATATCTGACAGAGAGGTTTAAAAAAATATTTGACTATATATTTCATGTTCAAAGTCAAAATCAAATATAGATAATTTGTTAACGACAATAGTCTTATAATACCATAAAGTATAACACAACAAAAATAACTATAATTAGCTGCGAACTTCGTCGCTAATTTATCGCTAAATCGCTCATAGCTAACATAATTTTTGATAGTCGCTAATAAGATTAGACTTGTCGGTCGTTAACTCTTGTTTTTTTAGTAGTGTAATAGAGAGTATATATAAAACATATTCAATAGTCGATGGCTAAATTTGAACATTTTCTCATATAGATAATTCGAGTTAAAATCATTACTAGAAATCTGGTAAAAACCGACCAAAAAAATCGACCAACGTTGGTCGGTAATGGCAAAAAACCGACCAAAACGCGATCATTTATGTGTGGACGGTATTTTTGTGGTCGGAAAGGAATACCGACCAAAGTTGGTCGGAAATTATCGACCAACTTTGGTCGGTCAATTAAATTCAAAAAATAAAAATATTGCAAAAAAAAAAAAAAAAAAAAAAAAAAAAAAAAATTGAAAAACCGACCAACTTTGGTCGGTTTTTTTACCGACCAAAGTTGGTCGATCGACCTTGGTCGGTTTTTGCCGAATTTCTAGTAGTGAATTATTAAATACATCTATATCTACAGTTGAGAATTATGATAATAAATCCACCACAGTTTATAAATGCTAACCGAAACCAGTAAAGCAAACTTTTCACTAATTTGGCACTACTCTCTATAAGTCAAAATTATGAGTGTGAAACGTAACGCTCAAATGGATGCTTCACTCAGTACACGTTGCAAAATACTACGTACAAAAAGAGAACAACACACAGCAAACTTCTTTTTAAAGCATTTCACTGCTCCTTTTTCTTTATTCCTAGTAATGATCGAAGGAAGAAAGAGTTGTTGTTACATGCAAATCCATTAGCGAGTTTTATTTAATTTCCTGGTAAAGTTTTCTTTCTGTTTATTTTGAATGTTCGTGAAATTATTTTTAGTTTGTGCTTTGTTTAAGTTTAATGCATGACTTTGCTGCTTCTTGAAATTTTTGCAACAGTTGAGGTGGTGAATTCTGTGTTTATACACATTCGTTTAAAAAAATTGATTAAATCTGGTTGAAATTCTTTTATGTGTTATTTAATAGCTCGTTTAAAAGAGGAGGGTTGCGGTAAGGCAGCCAGCGTAAAACTAGCCAATTTATATCATAGCGTACCCCAACTTAAGTTTGGGATTGTGGTGTAGTAGTAATTAGTTGTTAATAGCTCGTTCAGGAAAAAAGAAAAAAAAAATCAGTTTCTGTTTTGTTTTAGTAAGATGAATGATTTTGGTGTTACTTGAATTCTGCAGCATTTGAAGGTGGTGAACTCTGCATTTTACAGGTACATTGTTTTCTTTTCATATTTTCTAATTAATCTTTGTGATGAAATCTGGAGCTTTTGGAACTTAGCACTTGTTTTTTTTTTTTTTTTAAATTTATTTATTGTTAATGGTATAGAGAGTTGAAAATGAGAGTTTATTCCATGTTATCCTTATTAAATCTATATTAGTCAAGTCGCTGATTAGCGGACCGTGAAATATTGTTTGGAGAGGGAAGGTCGGGGTTTTGAATGCTCAGCTCTAACCCTGTTATTAAACTCAATCGTAATGATGTTTATCACTAGTGCTCTCAGTTCGATAACTTTTTGGTAGGAAGACGCGAGTCTGAATTAGTCGGCCCAGTGGGCTTCAGATACCCTAAGGCAGAAAAGGAAAAAAAAGTTGTGGAGTTTTGTCCTTTTATTCCTTTCTTTTGTCTTTTGGTTTTTATTTTTACCTTGTTTTAACAATCTAGTGATAGTTAGTGAACTACTGCACTCACCTAGCATTTATGGGATTAAAATCCATGTTTGAAGATTAACGGGGCTACATCTAGTTCGATTCAATGTAAGTTTGATTTTTTGTTTGCTAAAACGTTGGGAGTTAATTATGATTATGATGAATCCTTGTTTGGCAAAATACATGCCTATATTTAATATAGGCATGTATAGTTGTCTGAACAAACTTAATCTAGAATTAATTCTAGATTTTTGGTCATTATAGATCGACATTCATCTTTAAAAATAGACTTTGAACTTTTGGCAAAGTAGGATTACCGAACTGGATTAAGTTTGTTCGCTCTAAATCCAAGTGTAGATTTCCCAAATTTGGCATATAAGCTAAGTGTAAGGTGTTTATATCAATGTTGACTTCTTATTTCATGGCGTTGATGCCTAAACTTCGTTTGATAGTGGTAAGTAATCTTAAAAAATTAAATGGAATTAATGAAATTTTGCTAACTCGCTAACTTTGTGATGATACCATCTAAATTCCATAGTTTGATATTCATACATTTTAGACCGCCAACTTCTTTATTAATGTTATTTCAGATGAGTAGATCATTAGTTCATTGAAAAAGGTTTTGGTGTTAATGCTAGTACATTGCTTAATTCATTAGACTTACATGAAAAATAATTCTTATGACAATTCGCATTTCATTTGAAGAAGATCGAGGGGAGAGTTTAACTAAGATACATTCTCTCAAAAAGGAGAGTGGAAAAATCTGCTAGGTCTAGATTTGTGAATAAGTCACTGAAGCGTTAAAAACTTTTAGGTGGAAGAGTAGAATAAATTGTTTCATGTTTACGAAGCAAGAGTTTAGCTAAATACTAAAATCAATGAGTATACATGTTAAATTCGGGTTTGGGCTAAGCCAGCTTAAAAATACTTATAACATGACATGATATTCTCCGTCTTGGGCCAAGCTTGCAGGGGTTTTCTCAAAAGGCCTCACGCCACCTTATAAGTAGCCTCTTTTTCTTATTAACGTCTAGGGTGGGACTTTGTTCCGCACACCTAGAGTAAGCTTTATTTGCTTTAGGACACAATCTTATGCATAAAATGTACATCATTTCATCAACTAGAAGTTCTCATAGCAATCCAACAAGTTACACTTTACTCACCTGAACTTTAAAATAGAGGTGAGAAGTTGCTTGTCGATTAATATTCATCTAATCATACCATTTATGGTTAAATTATTATTCTGAAATGATTGACTAAATGATGTTTGTCTGATTCATGAAGTTTGTGGTAATTGGAGGGAATCAAAATGAGCTCTGATAACAGCAAACTTGCTCCTTCCACCCCGTTGTTCGACGAGCAGAAACTGGTAGCTCGGCAGCAGCATGAGCCAAAGTCACGGCGCAGATCGCAGAAATTCCAACAGATTCAGGACAGCTCAATGAGTGCAAAACCATTTCATGAGGAGAATCCAAAATTATTGGAGGACTTGGATAAGGTGACGAGCAAGTCTCGTCCAAGTACGAGTGTGCTTCAGTCACCAGAGCAACAAAAAACTACGGTCATAATAAAACGTGAATGTTCAGTTCCACCGATGATTCCAGAACATTCTTTGAGGAAGGACAAACAGCCGCTCATCCAAGACTCGTTTCCCCCTACTTTTCCTCAAATGAACTTAGCATCTCAGCCTCCAAAAGCATTGATGTGGCTTTTACAGCAGCAAATGCAACTAGAGAGGACAGCTCATGAGAAACGTTCAGAAATTGCGGCTGATGGAAGATCAGTATATAAGCCAGGAATGTGTGCTCAACGTTTGAAACAATACATGTACCTTCAGAATCAAAGACCAAGAGTAAGATATTCCAAGTAAAAGAAACATGAGTTCTTTTTATATAGACTGTTGTTTTGCTAATTCATTATATGATCTTATGGTACCTGAAAATGCAGGACAATGATATCGAGTTTTGGAGGAATTTAGTTGCAGAATTTTTTGCTCCCAATGCCAAGATAAGAACGTGCTTTTCATTGAATAAAAATAGGCAACGGATAAGTTGTCTTTTCCCTCAGGTTTGTAGCCTAATCTTCTAGTCAATTTTTTGGGGCCTGGATTCCGCCTACGCCTAGTGGCAAACACTGTGATTCAATCATTATCAAGTTTTCTTCCATAGGAGTATTTTGTCCTTGTGAGAAATTGTTGTCCCTTTTTTTAACCATCTGGTATTTGGAATATTCAAAAATGACTAAAGAGTTTTTACATTGACATATGTGATCTCAAGATTTGACATCATTTTCTATATGGTTTATAAAGTATTTAAGTATCCTATCTAGCATGAATATCGTCTTTGGAATGCTGGTTTTCCTTTCAGATTCTAATTAGATTAACTGCAGGAGGCATGGTACTGTGAGATCTGCAAAGTGAGGCCTACTGCTGGTTTTGGTATGTACTCTTTATTAAATTGGTGATGGTTGGATAATTTTGAGTCCTATAAGTTGTTAGCTAACATAGGCTCCTTTTGGTTTCTTACTATGGTAGATCTGTATTTACTTTTATAATAAATATTTAAGGAGGCAGCAGAAGGGGAGCCTTGGAGCAACGGTAAAGTTGTCTCCGTGTGACCAATAGGCCACGGGTTCGAGCCGTGTAAGCAACTACTAACTCTTGCATTAGAGTAGGCTATCTACATCACATCCCTTGCGATACGGCCCTTCCACGGATCCTTCGTGAACGCGGGCTGCCTTGTGCACCGGGCTGCCTTATTTAAGGTGGCAGCACTAGTTATGGAAGTTTTGACTTGGGAGTTTATATCATAGTATTAACTATTAAGTAGTGAGAATTGTCATAAAGTAGATGGAAAATGCTATATATACAAGGCAGGGGCGGATATAGCCTTTCGGTTGTGGATTCATCCGAATCCAGTAGGTTTGGTCCAAACCCTGTATTTGTCTTAAGAAATCTAGCGAACTATATATAAAAATTATTCATTTAGAACTTATTAGCTTAAAAGGACTAGAATTCCGAACCCACAAGCTTCAAATCCTAGCTACGCTAGGTCAAGATGATTACGTTGAAAATTTGCTGCTCACTGTCTGAAATACTGATTTGTTTTTGTGAATTTTAGAGCTCAGTGCAGAAGTTCAACCTAGGGTATGCAAAATTAAGTATGATACAGGTATACTGGACGAGCTTCTTTATGTTGATATTCCTGAAGAGTATTATACGCCGTCTGGTCACATTGTTTTGAACTACACAAAAGTAATAGAAGAAAGTGTATATGAGGCAGCACGAGTGGTCCGTGAAGGCCGGCTCAAGATTGTGTTTTCTTCAGATCTAAAGGTTAAATGTTGATAAGATATAGTCCTAAGTTTATCTTTTGTAAAGTACTTGAACTTGTTCCAAAATGATTGATGAAAGAACATCCTTTCTTCTGTTTTACTGTGATAGGTTTGTATCTGGGAATTCTGCTGTTCATCTCACGAGGTGCTTATTAATCGAAGATCAGTTACTCCCCAGGTACATAACACTACACCAGCTTTTCCTTCGTAGGAGCTAGTGATCTTGACTACTTTCTAAGCTTAAACTTCTTGCAACTCATCGCCTCTAATTGCTGGCGCAAGCAACATATACAAAACACACATTGATTATGTATATAGTAACTATATTATATGTATATTTATGTATATTTATACTCAATATACAAAACATATACATTTACTGGCTATTATTTTGGAGGGCTGCCCAGTAAGATAATTATCCCTTCTTTTTTAAATATCTTATTGGAATAATTTGATTTTAATTAGTCTTAGGTACTTGAGTGCTTAACGAGTCTTACATAGCATTACACCAGCATTTCCTTCGTATGAGCTCGTGATCTTGACTACTTTCTAACCTTAAACTTCATGCAACTCATCACCTCGAACTTGATGGTTACGACTGATGGTTATAAGGAAGATTCTTTAAAGGACTTTTATTACATGAACAGCCAACATATACACTGATTTTGTATATAGTACGTATACTATATATATACAAAACATATATATTTACCGGCTTTTATTTTGGAGGCGGCCCAGTGAGGTAATTGTCCCTTCTTTTTTTAAAATCTCTTATCGGAATAAGATTTTTAACTAGTTCTAAATACTTGAATGCTTGAACGTTTGATATATATGGTATTAGATCATTATTCTTGTTGTTGTCCTTATTAAGGTTGCTTTTTTGTGAGTTTGAAAAGAACAGACTTCATTGAAAATTGTAAAACATAATTTATCCAGGTTCATCAACTCAGGGAAGCAATCCAGAAATACCAAGCTTTTGTTAAGAGTTGCTCAGGGATTGCTTCAGAAGAATTTAAAAGAAACTCCAACAAGTAAGTTGTCTATCCAACTGTTTCATGTTCACATTTAGGTGATAAACCCCACGTATCTTTTCTTTTATACTTGTCTTTGATGACATTATTCGGACACCGGTCCTGTATAATATTTCATATTGGTGGTGCTCGTTATATGCATTTAGGTTATTCTTCACACTTTAGTGAAACCATGTTGTTCTAGTTTTGACCCTTTGTGAACTGTATCTGTCGGACGGCTGCAGGTTTACTTTATCAATAAGACAATTAGCAAGAGTTTTGGACAAGTCTTTGATCAATGACCTTGGTTATACCAAGCGCTATGTCCGTTGCCTCCAGGTATTAGGCATTTATGCAGTCTAATCATCCTGTCATTGGATTATATGCATATCAGAATGCTATGTGGAATTGAAATTTTGGATTAAAAAAAAGGCGACGAGGATTTTATATTAAAATTCTCAATAGAAAAGACTTGTTTATTGTGACTCAATAATAAAAGCATGCACGATAGTTTCATCTCTGCTGTCATTTCAATTACTTGAGATTGCAGATGCAAAATGTAACAGTTCGTTAACAAGATGTTTAAGGGAATTCTATTGTTTTAAAGTACTGACATTCAATTGAAAAAATCTTTGCTGTAAGCTGATAGTTGTTTTAACATGTAAACTAACATTATGACACGGCAGCCCGGTGCACAAAGCATCCCGCGGTCATGCGTCCGGGAAGGGCCGGACTCTAAGGGGGTGTGGTATAGACAGCCTACAAACCCGTGACCTATAGGTCACACGGAGACAACTTGACCGTTGCTTCAAGGCTCCCTTTCGATGAACTTTAAGAAAGGGAAAACGAAAAAGATCTCAAGACTCTATTGACACGTTAAAAGAATTTCGAGAAGAAACCACAAGTGAGAAATAGGAAAGGTCTCATTAAATTAGAGAAGGGGCTTTTTTAACCTTTTGCCTGGCTACCGTTTGTGTTTGTCTTTGACATGCTTGGGGGACTCACTCTTTTGTGAATGTTTGTTATCAATAGGTTAGACATCCTAATCTGTGAACTTCTTGACCGTGCCGAATTACATATTTACTCTTTTTTGATGAGTTGTAGACAGCAGAAATAGTCAACAACATGAAAGATCTAATGGACTACAGCAAGAAATATGGGATCGGACCTGCAGGTAATGAAATAACTTAACCTTATTGTGCCAAGGCATTCTTTGCATATCATGTTTTAAATTTTAGAAGGAGAAGTAAAATGAATATAAACTCATTTGTTGAGAGATAATTGCAACTAACTCTTTTATAATTTTTCAGAAGCTATGGCCAGGTTATTTCGTCAATCTCTTGCATCATGTGTGACACATAATAATTCAGGTGTAAAAGAAGAACCTCAACAACATCCAGTGCAAGAGCAATCATACTTATATGACGACGCAAAAGATGAGGACTCTTCTGTAATAAGTTATACTCCTTTGTCATCTAATGAAGAAACAGAAAGTTCGAGTTTATCCCATCGTGCTACATCGCCAACTGCCTCTACTGCTTCATCCAAAAGGCCGGTTCACTTAGTCGACATTGTCGAACCTAAAAGAAAGAAACAAATGACAAATTCAGGGGAGACATCTCTTCTGCTTGGTTCGACCGAGCCTGTGATGTATCAGCCAATCACCACAACTCCTCCTTTTTCTTCCATTAGGTCATTTCTAGTTCAACCATCTTCTACTGATAGAGTCATCATCTCAAATGCTGCGTCAGCTGATAGAGTGAAGGTTAAAGAAGATGTTGTCACTTCTCAAAACATAGCTGCTGCTGCTGCTGAAGATGCGATTGATGATAACGACGTTCTGAAACAGAAGGAGAAGAAGGCTGATGATAAAGGTAAGTACTGCTATGGTTTTGAAACTGATGGAATGGTTGAGAAAAGCTATTACATGGATCAGTTAGAATCAGACAACTTGAATGGTGTAAGTCTTTTCTCTGGAATTCACATTGGATCTCATTTGAACGGCACGTTAATGGTGAATGATACTCATAGCAACAACCAGCAATCCAATGAAAAATTGCTTTATTGGAACGGAGAAATGGACCCTATCGATGATATTCAGTTCGACTGAAATATTATTTCAAGATAACATGATTTCATGGTGTTTTTCTGATCAGTAGCAGTTGCATGTTTAGATACTTTAATCAAGCAAGTTTCCTTTTTTCCTATAAATTTTACTGGTTTTGTATTAAAAGGAGATCTTTTTTCTTCCCTTGTTTCTATACTATAACTGCTTGTGCTTGAAACAGACAGTGCAAATAGGAACTTTTACCAAGCACTAGTTTCATCTGTTCTTTTAATATATATATATATATGTGTGTGTGTGTGTGTGTGTGAGAGAGAGAGAGAGAGAGATGTCATGGTTATCTTTGTACCAAGCACTAAGAAGTTGGTTTTTATATAGTTCTATTTACAATATATAATGATCTGGCAACTGTTAGTTTTTTTTATAAGATGAAGTAACAAGGAGTTTGAAAGTATAATTGAAAATTTTCATTAATCCTAGATTTAAATAGCAAAGAGGTTAGAAAGTATGATTGAGAAATTTCAATTGGAATTTGGAAATTTTATTAACCATACAAGGTTCTTCCTAAAACATCTGAACAACCCAAAATACCTAACATAACGTAAAATTCAAATGAAGTGGTAAATTCTTCTTAAAACTAAAATATCTATAGTGTACACGATGCTGAATGAGTCAATCCTATTTTTTTATTAAAAAAAATTCCAACTTAGATTGGAATTTATTGTGAAGATTTTATTAGGGTTGAGTGACCTATAGAATGGTAAAAGATCTCAAATAATGTATTAGGATTTTGAGTTATCGAGAAAAGGTTCCCGTCTTCAATAATATGAGACTTGTTGATCATGATATATGGTGAGGCTTAGTTTCTTTTTTACACTTTTAAGCATTTTTCAAATATATAACCGGCCCTTTAAAGTTGTAGTGAATTTTTATTTTAACACTTTTATTACGGGTTGTTCCAATTATACACCCCAAGATATATCAGAATGTGCCTAGTAAACACCTACTGTCTAACCAATAAAACAAATAAAAAATATGAACTTCACGCGCAGTGACATGGCAAAATCATCCAAAGAATGTAATTTTAATGTAAACACTTGTCTAAGTAACATGATTGCGCAAAAATCTTTCCATTAGTCAAAAGAAAGAACCTAAAACTAGGGTGTTCGTCGTTGGGTACGGTACGGTACGGTATTTAGATATTTCGGTTCGGTATTTTCGGTATTCGGTTTCGTAAAATGCTATACCAATACCGTACCTAATTAAATTCGGTATGATTCGGTTTTTCTGCTTTCGGTTTCGGTTTATTTGGTTCGATAACTTCGATTTATTCGGTTCGAATACTAACTGGTGCATAGAGTCATAGACGGTAATATTCTTAATTAAAGTACTCAAAAGTACAAAACTAAAAACGTTTGTTGACAAAAGTTTTGTCCAAAACCAGCATATACCAACCTATACAGAGAAAACTTAGAGAAATATCTTGTTACTTGCTTAGAATTAATTGATGAATTTAGAGAATAAAGAAAAGTAAAATTTTAGATTTCATATACTTATGTTATAATTAATAAAATATATATTGTGTAATATAATATATATTTCGGTACGGTATCGATATTTTGTATTTCATTTTAAAATACTTATTACCATATCTAATACCAATTTTTTAAAAAATTTAAACCAAATACCATACCGAATACCAAAATATCGAATACCGAATACTAAAATTTTCAATTTCAGTACGATAATTCGGTATTTACCAAATTATGCACGCCCTTAAAACTCTTGAATTCTCATTATCTTAAATATTTTAAGTTAAAGAGTTTTAAACAATGAAGTGGTTTAAATGAAACGCTTTTCACGAAACATTCGAGGTATAAAACTGTCTCATTCAAATCACTTGTCTAAAACTTTTTTGTGGTTCACTGCTGCAAAACCTATTTGTTCTTCGACATAATAAACATTCATGATTTTACTTATGCTAGATACACATCAACTGGATGTGGAATTTTGAGCACTGCTGTAGTCTGTAGAAGTCATACTTCAGCTTTGCCAAAGGTACAGTTCGTTTGTTGTGTGATTATAACTAACCTCAGTTGTGCTTTCTTCCCACCAGCAAGAATGCGTTGAATCTGAAACCCTCTGTTGAAGGACTGGTTGAAAAGTAGCCTTGTCCAGAGATGAATCCAGGAATTCGAGAAGATGGGTGCACTATTACTTCAAAGACAAATATGCTTCAAAGATAAACATTCAGTTTCATGATATAAAATTTTACAAAAACTATAACTTGGCTAGCAAAATTTATCCAATTCCATTATCTCAAAAATACATCATCAATTTACATTTGTACTCGACGAGCTTTCATATTTTGAAAGCGATCCATAATAGCATCATTACTTACAATTGCAAATACATTATGCTCTATATTGCAAACTAAATGCTATTACGTAGATCATTCTTTATGAGCTTCATTAGGATTTGTTTCAAGAGATACCAACCTAAGAGCACTATTAACATTTGAAGGAGGGGAAGAAATTGCTTCTCTTTGAACTTCTGCAACTATATGTGAATTAGCAGATGGTTGAACTAGAACTTGGTTGGCCATTGTTTAACTTGATCAAGTATCTATCCATTTTGATATTCGGAAAAATTATTCCTACAAAATTAAATACTCGCATTTATTCAATCTTATACCATATCCATTTTATAAATTTAAATCAATCTTAATAACAAAGAATTCACGAAAAGGGGAATCACACCCCTTTAGAATTCATTATTCAATAAGGGAATCACACATTCAACCCCTTTCGCATTCAAATATAAGAGAATCACGAATCACGAATACTTGAAAATTCATAATATAGTAGGGGAAGCACACCCCTTCCAACTTACAATAAAATAAAATGAAAGCGTACCTATTCGTTCGCAAAATATGTAATTGTTTATCTTGATCAACTGAATGTCTCTTTATGTTACACCCTATATTTTCTTACGTAAAAGTGTGTCGTGAGCAAACTAATGTAGGACCAAAAATGAGATTATCTTTGAAAATATATAAAGTAAGATAATCATGTTACCTCAGAGGTTACAAATATTGAAGATCATGAACAACAAGTACAAAGAGGGTTGGAAGGTTCAGAAGCTAAAGGAATTGAAGAAAATAATATTTCGTCGAAAGTCGACAAGTTGGGAATGTTATAACATATACTTTTGGGATGAGACTGGGGTTCTTAACATGATAAGGAGGTTATGTTATGAGTTATGTTAGTCGTATGATAGTCGTGTGTTATGTTTTGAAGTCAAGCGAGTTGTGGAACAAAAGTCGATGAAAGTCATCACAAGTTACGTTCATAAGTTTTACTGAAACTTTGGGTCAAATGTAACTGCAATTTTCTATCAATATACTTAGATTTATGGGGTGTTCCACCAATCGAATTGAATATCTATGTGTCTATTTTGTAACGCATTAAACAGTTTGTCAATACGATATCGAAGTAGAGAGATATGGGCATTTTTGCGAGACTGCGTAGACTGCTAGGTGACAAGTAGGTGTGTCGCCTACTTGCTTAAATGAGAGTCCAAAAATTGTCCAGTTCGGGTCGTCCAAAGAGGCCTTTTAAAGGCCTATTTCCTTCATATATTAGACTGCTAATAGGGTATAATAACCAGACATAAACTCTGCAAAAATTCTCCCAATAATTGCCCACAAATCCTAATTGATTTTCTCTCCCTTTCAAGTTCTAATTGGAGGTAAAACCTAGAGTTTGAAGAACCAAGATAGGAGTTGAGTTATCCAATAATAAGGTAAGTTTACTTCTCTCTTTCATCCATTTTGTTCTGTTGTAAATGCATGGTAAGCCGTTCTATATTTGTATGAACTCACGGGACGGTGATCGAAAGCCGTGAGTTCGAGTTATTCACTTGTAGCAGAATATTTTGTGCTGTTTTGTGTTGCTGTTGGGCTGCGTATTTTACTACTATTTTGTAGAGTGTTGGAGGAGAAAGTGTGTGGAGAAATACCATATAAATGCAGGATGGTGGGCTGGTCGTTGTTCGTAATATTTTCGGGTTGTTTGAAACTACTATGGTAGTCGTTTTGTGTATGAAGAGATTGGGATGTGTTAGGCTATTTTATAGTATTTTGTGGTGTATATAAAGTTGAAAAATAATGTATATATGTTGTTATTGTTGCGTTCTTGTGTTGTTGGTGTTATCTTGAATTTGGAGGAAGTAAAGATTATAGGGGAGATGCTACCCGTTTTAATACAAAATAAGCTTGTCGTTCATTGTGCGATAGTTGTACCTTTCGTAACTTAATGATAGTATTATTATCGTTATTGTAGATTAAGGTTGCGAAGAGGTGAGTTCAACTTGGTGATTGGAAAGATTGTGATAAGATATGTTAAGGCTAAGCCCTTCCTTCATTTTGGCATGATCTTGTAACTAAATATGTTTGATAACGAGGCATAAAGAGAAGTTCACACTCTCGAATTTATATACATTATCCTATTCTCATAGGTTACAGTATTCTTCCTTATCAGGACTTTATATTCAATTGAGTATTGTCTTCTTCCAGTCAAGAGAGCAGATGGTCTATATATATACAGTATTACAGTATTTTCACCACCATCGTGTTATAATCGGTGCGCAGGCCCCTATTTTCACTACCAACTCCGCCTCGTGTCTCTTCAATCAGAATAATATCATCTGTAAATAACATACACCATGGCACCTCCTCTTGAATGTGGCGCGTCAGCATGTCCAACGCCAAGGCAAATAAGAATAGGCTAAGAGCCGACCCCTGGTGCAACCTTATCACAATTGGAAAGTGGTCCAAATCCCCCTCCCCCACGGTCTTCACTCGTATTTTAGCTCCATCATACATGTCCTTAATCACCCTAGTGTAAGCCACCAGAACATCCCTAGCCTCCAAACACCTCCATAGAACTCGGAACTTTGTCATATACTTTCTCTAGATCAATGAACACCATATCTAAGTCCTTCTTCCTCTCCCTATACTGCTCTACCAATCTCCTTACAGGGTGAATTGCTTCCGTAGTCGAACGTCCCGGCATAAATCCGAACTGATTTTCAGAAATAGACACGCTCTTCCTCACCCTCGCTTCCACCACTCTCTCCCAAACTTTCATAGTATGGCTCAGCAGCTTGATACCCCTATAATTATTAAAATTATGGATATTTTTCTTATTCTTATATATCGGAATCATCATATTCCACATCCATTCCAGGCATTTTCTTTGTCCTAACGATGATGTTAAATAACCCAGTGATCTATTCCAAGCCAGCTCTATCCACGCTTTTTCAAAATTCTATCGGAATCTTATCTGGCCCAGTTGCTCTTCCCCTGCACATCTTATGCATAGCCCCCTCGACCTCCCCCATTTTAGTCCGCCTACAAAAACCAAAGTCACGATGACTCTCGGAGTGCTCCAAATCATCCAACACAATACCCATATCCCTTTATCTATTTAGGAGCTTATGGAAGTATGTCTGCCATCTACGTCTAATATATGCCTCATCCATTAATAATTTGTCATCCTCATCTTTGATGCACTTCACCTGATCCAGATCACGGGCCTTCATTTCTCTCATCTTGACTAGCTTGTACAGCTTCTTGTCTCCACCCTTGTCACTAAGTTCTTCGTACAAACGTCCAAATGTTGTCGTTTTAGCCGCCGTGACCGCTAACTTCGTCTCTTTCTTGGCCCTCTTGTACCACTCCCTATTCGTACTCTTCTCCTCTTCGTCCTTACTCTCCACCGGCTTCAAGTATGCCGTTTTCTTGGCTTCTACCTTTCCTTGGACCTCTCCATTCCACCACCAATCTCCCTTGTAACCTCCAAAATAACCTTTCGAGACCCCTAGCACCACTCTAGCAGCTTCCCTAATACAGTTCGCTGCCAAAGTCCACATACCATTTACGTCCCCACTACTCCTCCATACCCCATAGTCTCCAGCTTCTCCCCTATCTCTCAAGCTTTGTCTTTAGTCAAGGCTCCCCACTTAATCTTGGGTAGACCGAACACAACCCTCTTCTTCCTCTTCCTCCTGATCTCCAAATCCATCACCAAGAGCTTATGTTGGGTCGAGAGATTCCCGCTTGGAATAACCTTGCAATCCGTGCAAAGACCTCTATCGCACTTCCGAAGGAGTAGGTAGTCAATTTGGGTCTTGGCCACTGTGCTCTGAAATGTCACCAAGTACTCCTCCTTCCAAAAAGCCGAGTTAGCTATCACCAAATCAAAAGTCTTTGCAAAATCTAATAACGAAGTATCACCTCCGTTTCTAACCCCAAAACCGAAGCCGCCATGCACACCATCATAACACTCGGAAGTCAACCTGATGTGGCCATTGAAGTCCCCTCCTATAAACAGCTTCTCGTTAAGCGGGATACCACGCACAACCTTGTCCAACTCATCCCAGAAACATCTTTTGACCTCCTCGCCCAATCCCACTTGAGGAGCGTATTAACTGACCACTGAAACTTCATCTTTAAGTTCATGTTATTTTTTTTATGCGATTATAATTGAGAAACGTAAAATTTTAACATAAACTATTTTTAGTCGTTTTCCTAAACTAAGACCACGACCATTATTGACATTTAGGATATCTTCACTTTCAATTATCAAACACCTCAACCAAACCAACAAACTACCCAAACTAGGACTTCTTACCTTCACCTTCAATATGTTATTATCCACCGACGAATGAACAGTCGGTGTAATTTGACATGTTACAACTTACAACTGATCATGCACCATGTTTCTCAGATTACCAACTTTTAGTGTAACATTTGTCTAACTGACTGAATACACAGAAATTATTTAGAGCATCAAAAGATAGAACTTAAAACTCTTGAATTCTCATTTATCTTCAATATAAACCAAAAATATATTGCATATATGAGCAATTATTTGCATTTATAACAAAGGAGTATACATCTTGTGCTGTAGTATTCTGAAACTATAATATGCTAAGAATTTTTATGCTCTACAATGTGGCCTGGACCAGGGAGCAGAAGGCTTGATGTGGAATTTTGAACAATGGTGTGGAAGTCATACTTCTGCTTTACCAAAGATACAGAACGTTTGGTGTGATTGATAATTAAGCTCACTTGTGCTTCTTCCCTCCAGCAAGAATACGTTGAATCTGAAGCCCTCTGCTGAAAGCCTGGTTGAAAAGCAGCCTTGTCTGGAACTCGGAGACAAATGGGAACCAAGCTAGAACAGCCACAGGTGCAAAGATCACGAGCCCCATTAGGTACTCGTATCCTCTGGCTAGAGCCTTCACAGATCCCCACATTCCTATGCCCTTCACTACTGGCCTACATGCCTGTGCTATCTGCAGGGCACACCATAAGACTTCAGATACACACACACACACACACTCTTCTTTAGTGTTCTATATATCAAAGGCAGGTAATTGTGTTTTTTAAATGCGATGAAGTAGTCAAAATTGTAAAGAATCCCTTTCACTGACACAGCCTCAATTCCACTACTATTAGTAGCAATAATGCTGAGACAAAAACCTCTCAGTGAATAACATTGAAGATAAGAAATAGTCACCTGAAGAAGAGCCCATCCAGTTGGCAAGAAGGCCAATAAGCTGGCAAAAATGTCTCCAACAGTAAGACTTAGGAATTTGAATAGCACGACAAGTGTGACTATGAAGCCAATGAACAGGAACAATTTCAGAAGCCTGAACATCAGCTGGAAATCAGCACTGAACTTCTTCCTACCCATGGACACGATCTGCAGAGAGAAAGTACAGTTTCAGAACTTGCTACAGAAAGACAACCTTTATGTGACGAGAATTTAGAGTGTCTTTCTAAAGAATGGTTTACAATGCAAGAAAGGTCTGAATGCTGACCTTCAAGACGACCATGACGAACACAATGACCAACCACGACAAACCATAAACCTGCAATCGTTGAGATGAGGATTATCATATAAGTGGGATGCCAATTCACTCCAGATATTGTATTGAAAGCTGAAAATTCAAGGGAGTTCTATTCTCAAGAGAGTTCGAGATGTACTTACAATGATACCCTTATCATTATTGGCCACATTTAGCTGATAAACAATTCCATATTGGAAAAGTAAGAAGCGCAGAGCAAGAAGAATTTCACAGAAGCGGCCAATCAAACCAGAATACTGCAGATGCTCTTGTTCCTCATCCCACCAAGACTCCCAACTCTTGGTTGCCGGAACACCAATACCTCCATGATTGCTGATCCACTTGGCCCAATCCTCCCAATCATCCACTATCTTTTGCCATTCAAAGCCTGAAGGATTAAAGAGGAAAGGAGCAAACAGCCATGAAACCACAAGGAACCACATTGAGCCACTGAGAAACAAGAAAGCTACAGAATCAGTAACAGCTGTGCCATAAATTTGATAAGCTACGAGCAAAATCAAAATTTCCAGTGCTTTGGTGAAATGGCTCCTTGAGTACATTCTGTAGTTCTCAGCAAACTTTTCGTGTCTCACGACAAAACCACGCCCAGTTGCTCTGTATTTCGCTCCACCATGTAAAATTGTGCGGCCAAAGTAATGGAGCTTTGTTCCAAGAGAGAATGTAAAGAAGACAGCAGCCAACTGCAGGTTCATGATGATGATATCGCCTGCAGCAGTTCTGAAGCCTCTTTCCAGCCCAATCTCCATAACCATTGGCAGGGCCATTAATAAACCAAGTTGAACAACAGATTGTGATGCCATTGCAGCTTTGAGAGCATCATCACCCTTGGATCTTGCAACTTTGACAATGGACTGTTCCAGTCCACTCAATGCAAGGTAGAGTTTACCATATAAAAATGCATAAACTGTGAGGACTACCAGCTGCAAGGAATAAACAAAATGATATCATAAGTATATCTTCCTTTACATCATCTCGCGGAAGCAAAAGTGATTGCCGCACATGCTTCAAAATGGAAGTAATTGCAATGTATTATGATTTTGAAGTCATGTAGCCCATACCAGGTGAGATAAAACTTTGTAGATTAATGACATCAAATGTTACAGGACTTACCATTGAGCTGATATAAAATCCAGTAGTTGTGAAATAACAGGACAGCATACGGAAAAAGTCGAAGCGATGCCCTAATCTGTACAGATCACGGCTAAGGGTCTGCTCTCCATTACCACATGCCACTTTTGCCTCAAAGAGAGAGATTTGGTTAAGACCAACATCTCGTCCCTTTCCAACTTGAATGTATTCATGGTGAGTAACATTTCCACGTCGCAATGTTGAGTTGAAGCCTACAGAGCCAAACTTTGTGAGACAATAAGGTGATCTTTTTATGCATCAATAAACATATTTCTGAAAATTACCTGCAAATATGTCCTCACTAAGATTGATACCCCTTGAAGCTTTGCTAATGCCACCGCGAGTGATGTGGAAAATTCTGTCAAATACATCTGGATGTCCATAGTGGAAGCGGACCCTAAAATCATCAAAGTAGAATATAAAAATCTCATGGCATTGTCAGAAGTCAGAAAATAGCATAAATGTAAATTATTTGGATATAAACCAAGTGAACTCTTAACCGCAAGCAAACCAGCGAAAGAAAGTCCCCACTGCTCCTGATTTAGTTTCTAACAGAAGAAAACTGTGCATTTGTCCAGGAAAGGATCTTGCTCTACTTCACATAAACAATCCAGTATACTAAGTTTCTTCCTCTCCATTTGGAGAAAGAGAAAAAGCTACTTACAATATGTTTAGTTCTTAGAAGGTTAAGGGAAGGGGAAAATAATGAGAAACTAACTGGTTTCCTTGCCCTTAGATATTGGAGAATTACTTCCAGTTGTTTGTTACAACTAGAAAGGAAGTAAAACAGATATACTCCCTCTTTCTGTCCAGTTTGGATAGATTGAGAAAGCTGACCTGGAGAGTTATCCAATTCGTCCATTTTTATTTGACATATTTATTTACTTCTCTGCCAAATAAGGGAAATGATCTATATCCCTACACCTTTACATCTAATCGTCCAACTCCTCCTCTTTTCACCCAACCACACATAGCTTTAGTTATTCAAGTCGTGACATAATGGCAGTCTTCAGCAAAAGAAGAATAAAAGTTGAACAGCACTACAGCAAATGTTTTTGCCAAAAGTTGATGCATTGATATGGAAATATAGGACTGTCTGTTGAGTAATTTAATTCATCAAGGAACCGAAGAACATACTTCAAGGGCCTTGCAAGAACTCTCTGACCAATGGTGACAAAACTTGTCTCTTGATTAGACATAAACCAAGCCAACGAAGAAACACTGCAATTTGGAAGATGCGATGCCTTATTAGACATGTCAAAACCTTGATTTAAAGAAACTAAGCAGGCTCTATAAGAAATTATTATGCAACCTTCCAGTGAAGATATGCTCACGAACACCCAATATTGTAGGTGGACGCACTCCGTGATCTTCATTAAACTCCTCAAGAAGGTTACGCATCTTTAAAGCTTCCTCCAAGTAATTGTCCTGCAAGAGAAAGCATTAAGCGACTATTTTCTGATTACTTAACAGTAAGTATTTCAACTCAGTCTAACTTCACCTGATTCATGTCAATTGTTTGAAGAGCTTCCCCACGAGAGAAGATAATTGCATGATTCTGATTTTCAGGCTTTCCTTCTCCTATCTTTGCTGCACCAGGCAACTTTATACGGTATATTTCCTTCAAACAGAGATCATAGAAGAAATCAGGCCTTGTAGTGCACAGAATAAATTACATTCAATATTTAAGATAAAAAACAATGATAACCTGATCAAGATTATCAACTGCTTTCACCAACACTGAATAGTAAACTTTCTGAGCTTTTCCACCTTCCCGTTCTTCGACTTCATCAATATATGCTACACGGAGAGAGGGGTTACTGCAAAGGTAAAGGAGAAAGCAGTTTTCAACAGTAAATACAGTTGAGTATAGGTGAATTCAACTCTTTGTAGTTTTTCTTGTTTATTTGGAAGAATAAAAACTTACTTGACCATCAAGTTCAGAATATCAGTTGCACGCCGGTCTCCATTTCGCTTCTGATTTCCATAATTCTGGCAGGTAGCGACATAAGTGAATTTCATGTCAGCCACAGCTTCTAATTGAGCATACAATGATCTTTGGCTTTTCTTATCCTCCTCAGATGGTACTGTAACAGCTTTGTATCCTTCAAGAATCTCTGCAAATAAATAGTCAAAATGCAGTGAGTTTCCAGAAAGGAATTTAGGACTTGGTGCCCTATTTCAAGCACCTAGGCAAAGTATTGGTAAAACAGACTAAGCATAAAAAACTGTTAGCTATTCAACAGTATATTTTCTCTTCTTGTTGCATCATATAAACACTCGCTACAATCTTAGATATAACAGAGTGAGAGTCTTAGAATGAAAAAGTTCTTTTGCATTCCTTCATTTATAGCTCCTGTTACCATGTAACAGAACGAGCAGCCAGAAGAAATTCTGATTATGAAAAATTAAGGGATACTTGACATATAAGACTAGTACAGAACAGGGAATTTATTAGTGTTCGCATGAAAAGTATACAGAGTTTTTCCACCTCAAAGGAACCTTAAATCCTTAAGAACTCCGAGCTCTGAGACCACACATGTATTAGAAGGTATATACATGTAGGGGTGAGCATCCTCCACTTCTAATCAAGAGGTTGTGAGTTCGAGTCACCCCAAGAGCAAGATGGGGAGTTCTTGGAGGGAGAGAGCCGAGGGTCTATCGGAAACAGCCTCTCTATCCCAGGGTAGGGGTAAGCTCTGTGTACACACTATCCTCCCGAGACCCCACTAGTGGGATTATACTGGGTTATTGTTGTTGTTGTATACATGTAGGGGTGATTTTTGCGGGTCCTACTGTTGATTCAAATGGCTACTTGTAGAACATAGCTCGCCTGAGTAGACTTCAACTACCAATTATATCGAGCACATATCATTTGGAAAAGAAAAAATTTAGAGCAGATAACAACTATTTCTTACTAAAGAGATTTTTGCAAATCTAACTCATTATTTCTTTTATTAACAAGAACAGTCGAGGTTCTTAGCCCAAAGATAAAATCTATTTACAGGAAAATGGCTTTAAGAATATTATGGTTTACCTCCTTCTGAAGCCATGTCGAGAAATGCTTGAAGCTTCAAAGCTCTCCTGTAGTACATCATTCCTCTAACTGAAAAGAATATACAGTAACGATAAACAATCAATAGGAAACTGTTAAGTCAAAAAGTATGTGATAAGAAAAAGTCTTTGAAGGTGCCTGTTCTGCAGAGAGTCTGTCCCCTTAAGGAGGCCCAATGACGTAGCTGCAAGATGTTTTCATCATTTTCCCAGACCTCTGATTCCTTTTTACACCCAAGACGTTCCATGAAGTTATTCCATTCATCTAGAAGGAAATAAAGCGATGTCAAATAGACAAGAAAATATACCAATGAAATAGGAAGAGGAACATCATATTGAAAGAAAGTTCGTCTTCAAGTAGTTGATAATAGAATGAAACCTGGATAAATCTTTTGGAGGTAGTAAATGATTGATACACCGTCTTCATTTTCCATCTCAAGATCACCCTTTGAGTAGACAGTTTCCTCACTGTAGTATGGCGTCATGACACTGCACATTAAAGCATATAATTGAACTTCTGAATTTTGGATGATAGTACAATGGATCGATGCGCTTCCACATTTGACAAATGAGATATTTTTAATCTTTTGAATATTAATCATCAACAAATCCGTTGGTATTTTTTCCACTATCCACATATTAATAGCGTATTTTCATGACTATAATAATGCAATGTTGCTTGCTAACTTGATATCATTGAATGTAGACTGAATAGAAACCTTATGCTCACTCCAAATATTAAATGCATGTCAGGATAGTCAAATTCAAAGGAGAACCTCAAAATTATCGGACAATCGATCTATAAACATAAGGATGTATGCCTTCGTGGATTATGAGCAGCACCTGAATGAAAGCATTTTGCGCACTCGAGGTGCACGTGGCATTTCCATGAACAATGAATTTGTGAAAAAGTGAACCCTTCTGCGTGCCTCAAGGTTTGTTGGAACTTCAACTGCTGATTCTCTTACAGTTAAGAGAAGATAAAGACGCCGAATCTGAGAAATAAATCAAGATGATGTTTCTGTTTCTATGTATCCATTAATTGAAGACAATTCATCTGATCATACACATATCAAAAGACCTGTTCTTCCCACTGTGCTGTCACTGGAGGAGGGAATGCAATAGCTGTTCTCGAGTCAGTATTAGCAAAGAGTTGTTTCCCTGAATCCCTTCCATTATGACCAAGTTCTACTAGTTCCCTGAAATAATTTACAGACCATTAAAAAAATATCAAATTGAGTATCTTAAATAACACTATTGATATGCATCTATTTATCAAAAATATTCATCCTAAAATGCGCAGAATTCACCAACCCGATTTCATTCACCATCATGTCTCGGGTCACTATTTCTAACATATCCTGCAGCGCTATGACAACGTTGTTCCTTTTAGATGGATCTCCATCTCTCTGCAACAAGAAAGAAAGTGAAATATCTAGCATATGAAGTTCCACTGCTACAGAGACACCAGTCAGCGAATTACTTACCAGTATCTCAAGTAGGTCAACAAATTTCTTGCAAAGGTTTTGCAAAGGACCTGTTCTGAAATTCGCAAGGAATGTGCTCTTTGAAATGCTGTTTTCAACTTCTTTTATGATGATTCCTATGATCCTAGACACACAAATTAGACAGATTAAGAAGATATGCATCTAATGAAGAAGTATTAAGTGTCAATTGATGCAAAAATTGGAAGGATCACAGAAAACAGCAGAAATAATGCATGAAGGTGGCAAACTACATTTAGATATGTTGCATCACCACATTATATAATGTCGCAGATATGAGCATAAACAGAGGTAACAAAACAATGGTCAGACAAAAAAAGTTGAATGAAAGAAAAGTTAGTTGGAGAGAATGCAACTGATCTTTCAAAGACATAAAACACAAGTTAAACCGGACAGTTTACAGGATAAAAAGAAAATTAGGACCTAAATGAAGCGAAAATGTAAAAGAAAAGGGACTAGTGTTATGAAATAAAAGTACCTAGCGAGTTTTTAATACAACAGTGCTATCACTGTATCTGAAAACCAAGCATTACGACATACTACAGCTAGAGAAAGTGTTGTTTGGCTTAATGAACAAAAGAAGGAGTTAGGAGAGAGGAAAGAAACAATTCCAAATGATCCTGATGGATATTCAGGAATATACTTGAACTAAGATGCATGCTGTCGTGAAGTTGAATGATGACAAAGCTAAAATAATGATTCTCAGATCTATGAATCAGCTGAAAAAGCAACCTTTTCTCAGTTTCTCCAACAACCAGGGCATTAAGAACAAGTTTAAAAGATTCATAACATTCAATAACAGCACACTTCATGTATTCATCCGCACATATGCGCTTCCAAAGGTCAGCATCTCTAGAACGAAATTGTGAAGCCATGTCCAATGCAATTGGGATCTGCAAAGGAATACAGTCAATCCATGTAGAAGAAATTTAAACAGAGGTGCACCAGCCGACAGTCTTTACCTTGCTAGCAAGCAAAAAGGGTGGCCATTGAATAACTTTCAGACTGGGGTCCGAGGAATAAGGAACAAGTAATAGGTCCATCTCCCTGAAATAATGTGCAGACAGTTCAATTCTCAATGTTAGAAGAACAACCAACTAGAAAACGAAAAGATGAGTTAAGGGACTTTTCCTATCACTTATAAGATCTTCTTCACGGAAACTGCATATAAATTCATTCCATAGCTGAGCGAATTTTGCAGCTTCACTTCTCTTACTGGGTGAAACCTAGACATCCAAAATGAATGTGTTTAATAAGACTTTCATATTTTCCAAGTCTTTGGGCAATCTATTTATCTTCATGGAAGAAGAATTAAAAGCATAGCGCACGTTAAAGGTGAGGAAAGAGAAACCTCATTAAAACTCTTGGAGAGGGAAAATCCCTTTTTGTCAGTTTTGTCAGAAGGCACCAAGTAAGAGTTGAATGCACCAGGCAGAGACTGAAATCTTGACCTTAACATGTCTAGAGTTCGTATCTGTGTAAAGGAAAAGCAACAACAAGAGCAGAACCATATATTAATAAAGATCAGCAACCTCAACAAAGTAAAAATGACAATTTTATACGATGAAAGTCTAGCTTTTCAGGAAAGCATAAAAGTTGCTTCAGGCCTAAAATAACTCAACCCACCCTTGATATTTGATGCAGCAGAACCCAGTAGTGACAATTTGAGAGATATAACCACAGTTTTTCAACCAGAAAAGGGACTACTACTTTCAATTTATTTTTATTATAGATGGATATATAGTTGCAACAATCATTATAGCAATGCAGTCCACTGACTTCCTAACCAGCCTTCATCTTTTTTTGTCAATACAGCCTTTATCACTGTCCACAAACATTTAAGTTTGGCCTAAATCTCGTTGCTGTACATAAAAGAAGATACACTTCAGATATGCCTTCAGCAATCTACTGATGATCACTCATCCGAATGCTCTATAACAACCTTCTTAATCTTGGAATATTTCCCGAATGAAAAGAAGCACATTGAATAAATAGGTTAACAAATAATTTAAGGTTGTCCCAGTTTCAACAATGCTCACTTCTGTTACCCCAAACCTGATGTTGGATTGCAATCAGGAGATTGAATTTCTGCAGCACACATAGGTTTCCAACTTCTAATATTTGCCAAGGACCATCACCAGTATGCAGTGCTCTACCCCAGATATCATAATGATTAATGAGCAGCAATAATCAAGTTATCTCTAAACTAAATTCCACTAAGATCCATTGACAGTGACTAGACATTAACCATACGAAATAGACAGAAAAATAAATGTCAATCAAGATACATTCTGAAAGTCATTACCTCACCAAGACGATCAAAGGCCCCTATAACACCACCACACAAAGTTGAGAAAATAGCATACCAAATTTGAGCATCCATAAAGTAAACCTGTATAAATTTGGATACAATATTTACTAGTAAGAAATAAACATGAAACATGTAAAAATGAAAACAAAAGCAAGACATACCAAGATAACTGGTGCCCACAGGGAAAGCACAGCCCCATAGTTGCTCCTAGCTGTACGGATAGGATATATTCATAAGCATCAATTTGAAGATACTGAATGTGAAAAAAAGGAAGTGAATTTTGGAATATATACCATCAGGGAAGAACTCATGCCAAGCATACTGAACGCGATTGATGTCCATTATCATTTTCGTGGGTTTTATAAGGGGTTTTATCTGGAGTCACATATATACCACAATTAGAAGGCAAACACATCTACCAGTCCTATTCCAAATAAGAGCAACTGAATAGGCATCCAATTACCTGAATAAAATAGCTGAAGGCAAATTTTGCACAAAGAAGTAGCACCCAGAAAAGAGTATACCTGATGCAAGAAGTGAAGCAACAATAAAGCAAGTGTAAACATAAATCAGAGGAAGATGGAAGTAAAAGACTTGTTAGCATACTTTATTAGTGCAAATTGACTTTCATGCATTCCCCTCCCAACATAAATTCTTGGCTGCAGAAAAACAAGAAGCAAGACAGTTAAATAATGTTAGCTTTAGAAAATAAAATATTGGCATATACATACAAACTACAAAGTAGTGAGATGAGCGGACAGAATGTATGAGCAATTGTGTCTTATGGAAATAGATATATCCTATTTTTGCAAACGCTAAACCATATGATCAGAGTACAAGGAAATTCACATCAAACAAATTCACCTAAAATTTGAAACATATTAAGTTTCACATAGATTCATTCAAGTTGCACCATTGATATCTAAATTTTTTCCCTTTTCCCCAGGATTTTAAGTTCTTTCAGCCATCATTTTGAAAAAGCATGGGAGCCGGCAGTATTTCAATTTAAAATTCTGGTTAAATACTGTCTATTATTTCATCTGTAGAAGATCTTCACGCTTCGTATAGGGATTCAGACCAAAAAGTGATATGTTTTATTGGTGGTTAACTAAAGGAAAATACAATAATGTTCAGACGTGGTGAAAGAAGAAGCAGAAGAATAGATAGTATTAGTAAAGAATTTGGTTTCAGCTCAAAAGATTGATTAACTGCAGATAGCACGTAAGCTTTCGTGACTGACTACAGAGGATAATAAACTGTTCTTAAGAAATTAAATATGCACTTTTATTGGTCAGAAGGTTTTTTGTTATTACCTGTGACCACCACAGTAGAAACCTTACAACAAGCCAATCCGAGTTCTCAATCCATCGACGGAGCATTGGGAATATAAACAAAACTGCAGTGAGTAAATTGGGTAGTAGGTATACAGCCACAGCCATTAGGTACAAAGGAGGAATGCCCTTCATCTTGTCCAGAAATGTCAGGGAATTTCGAATCTTCGTAAATAGCTCTGAGTTGCTTTCTTGGACATAAAACAGTGGGAGGATGACAGACCATGCAAGGCTGACGATTATCTTCAGAACATTCCTCAGTACATCTGTGAACTTCCATCTATGATAGCCCGGAAAGTTCAGAACAAGGTCCAGGATGCCTAGCATAAAGCACAAGGGATGGTTATTTTTCTACTAAACCGCTACATATTAACATGTAAAATTGGAAATAATAAGAGCAGAAAATTACACAAGATAAAAATGCTATTTCAAAGAAATTCATAATTAATTACATACTTTGGAGAAAGCGAAGAAACGCTGCTGTGATGAAAATACTGGACAAGTTGTATAAAGAATCCTTCCGAAATATATCCAACACAGAGATATCACTCCACGCAAATATGACCATGGCCTGCAAGAGTACATTACCAAAATGTCCCAAAAATGGAACAAGTATATAGTTACGAGAAAAGAAACAGTATTTAATAATCTTAACAGTTTGAATTTTCCACCTGCAAAGCCAGGACAAAGAAGGTCCAAAGACGGTCAAAGCTTCGGAAGATATGCCAAAATGATCGGGTCTCAACAAAATAGGACTTTCCCATTTTTCCAGGCTTTTTAGCAGAAGCTCCTTTTCCCTGTAGTAGCAGTCATTAGGTAAACAACTCTTCTGCTGATAGAAGAGGAAACTTCTGATGAAAGTACAAGGCATACTTGTGTGGTGTCACGTGTTGATTTGAAGAAATCACCGTCATCACGCATAGGCCAACCTAAAGAAAAGCAATCTTGCGACCTGAACAACGTATATCAAATCCAATGCTTACATAAGAAACCATTTGTCATTTTGTTACTCCCATTATCACAGTAGAATTTATTGTTCTAATTAAACTTCAAGTACCAGAAAAATTCATTGAGGTCATCATAATTGCACCAAGTTGAGTATGGTGCTTTTCCATTTTTGCTTTTCTTGGCTTCCTGGGAGGGAAAATCGTCATTAGATCATCTTGAAAAGGAAACTTGAAGTGTAAGAAAATGCAGATATTTGAGACACATTACCTTATCAATCACTCGATAAATGGGAGTAATGACCTTTCGTAGAAAAGATTCATCATCTCCACCGTAAGAAGGCTTGATATTTTCTCCAGTGACAATGCTGACATTTCCAGCTAAGAGGCCATGGAGTTCGTATGCCATCTAAATCAATAATTTTCAGAAGTTATTTTCGCATTTAAGGAAGGCTTCCACTGCAGATGTGTGTGACTGTAGGTGTATAGTGTATTTTGACATCTATAGACCCAAAGTGGTGGTATAAAAGGAGATTAATGAACCACTCACATTATGGAAGATGTAACATAGACACTCCGGCATAAAGCGAATATTAGCTGCTTCACCCCAGATTAGAAGGTAAAGGCCCATGTAAAGTATTTTTCTCTGTTGCGCTTCTTGTGGGGCTTGAGGAAGCCTAAAAGCAATAAGATTTGTTGCATGAAATGGTACTCATTATTTATGGTTTATACACTTCTAAAATCCTAAAACAGCATAAGCATATGAGAGAGTCCACTTGAAAGAAAGTATATGTATTTCCAAAATCTTACCGTAAACTGTGTTTTTTTCCCAAGTATTTACACCATGTTTTGTAGTTTTTGAACAACTTGTTCATTAGTGCGTCCACAGCTCGATCGTCAAGCTACATGGGAAACAATAGTTTATAAGAATATACTATGATTTTGTTACTTTCTTGTATACCTTTTCTTTATTGCTATAACAAATCCAGACAGATAAAGAAATGCATTTACTCTAGAGTTTAGACTAATCAATCAGACGAGACTGATAAGAAGATTAGCTAATACGAAGCATGTGCTTAAGAGCTAGACTAAAAGGTCTAGTTTATATCCAAGGTAAAATGAATAAGAAATCTTAAGAGCACCGATACAAGATATTGAATATAATGGTGAACAGAAAACACCATTATTTAGCTATATGTGATACATGCCTTGTTAAGTGGCTCAGCCTTGGGAATTAGCCTTATATGAATATTTGCAAGAAGCAAAATCAAATTCTCCCGCTGGTTTCTTACGTTATCCCTCTGCAGATAACACAAACGGGTTAACAATTTTTCATTCTGACCAAAGACCTGAGTAGAGTTTCAAGCAATTCTAATCTTATTCTTCGAATTAGAAACTATTACCTGAAACCCGAACATGGCCCTTAGCCAATCTAGAACATCCAGTTCCCCTGCTTTTTGCCTTTGTTGTTCAAATGAAGCTGGCCAATTCAAGCCACGTGTATTCGAGAGAGCAGAAACTGCCGCTTTAACCTGGTGAGGAGTTTTAAAGGGAAAGCTAAGAGTCTTTACATACTATTCCAAACTATATGTGCCTATTTTTTCTGTCTGTATGTGTTTCTGTAGTACCTCTTCAAGTTGCATAATGGACTGGGACGCTCCAGCTGAATCCAGGGGAAGAATATTATAGGGGGCATATATTTCCTTTTTGGCCTGAACATCATTTGCTGCGGCAATGATCTGTTCAATAATTCATGTCATTCAGCTCTTGCATAGAATCCTCCAGTGAATGCCAGAAAAGTTAAGAACATTTAAGTGGAACCTTCATAATTGCACAAATAATTTTTTTAATATTAGTACTGACCTCAGGAGCAACTTCTTCAACTTTTTCAGACTTATTAACAGCACAAAGAACTTCAAAAAGCACTCCAGCAGTCTGATATGCTTTGCCAAGCTGAGCTCTGTTTTCAAAAGATTAAAAAACCAAAACAAATTAGTATCAGGCCTCGCAACAAATCTATAAAAAGGATGTTTACGAAACAAAGATAGTTACAGTTACCTGTCTGCTTGTTCTCCCTTGTTAAGAGACACGACATATTGCTCATAGTATTGCTTGTAAAAGCTCTCAATCTCCCGTGCATCAGTCTTTTTCACCCGAGAAGCAAGACTCGACGCATTGTCCTGAATGAAAACAATTCCTTTAGCTAAACCCTATAATTAACAATTGGAAACAAAAGGAATTTGCTGGGAATATTGAGGACCTAGACAATTGACGCAACAATGCCCTACCGGTAATTAATCCTTATAACCCCCTAAAAATTAAAATACCCAGAGTACAATATGAAAAATTATGCACATTGTCCAAGCATTTGGAGACGACTTTGCATGAACCCGTCTTTACATTCTGAAAATTTCCATAAAAAAATAGCTGCCTGTATATATTATCCCCCCATTAAACTGAGGAACTGGTTAAACAACAGAACCGAACCGGTAAAATGCCTCTCTTTGCCACTATATAACAGAGAAAGTAACATTTTCCAATGTATAACCACTTGATTTTCTCCCTCAAGTAAGAAAAAAAACAATAAAGAGGGTATTAAAATAAGAGTTTATCTTATATACACGTATGTAAAGAAATATTTTTTTAAAATTCAATACTAGTTAAACTCTTAAAATAAATAAATGGAACCATACGTACACGCTCTAAACGTTGGAAGAGATTGGTTTTGAACTGCCGAACACCACGTCCACTTGAGGTGGGGTCTAATCTATGCGCCTTCTCAAACGCATAGAACCGACCTTAACAACAGAAAAAAATAGAGAAATTAATTGCAGAGATTCGTGTATTTGATAGGAGTAGTATATAGGTTGAATGTAATATAGCAGGTGAAGAGAGACATACATAGATAGGCGACACGAGGGCGTTCATTTTGGATTTCTCTAGCGACGCGAAGGATTGGGGCAATGGACTGGAGAGAAGAGGGAACAACCTCGTTGTCAAACACCTCCATAGAGAAGGTAGTGGTGGCGGCGCTGCGTGACGGCCGTCGAGTCAGTGACGACGGCCCCGCTCCACCCGCTACCGGTGTTTGGGGATCCATTCCCTCCGCCGGTCTAGCCGGGTTCGTCATTTTTGATTTTTTTTCTCTCCTAAGTCAGTGTTGTCGGTAGCTTAGCTAACTGAATGTAGCTTAGGCTTCGACACCACCGCTCCCTTCCAGCTCCTCCAGCTCCGCTTTTCCTTTCTCCCTCTCTTCCGTTCAATTTCTGTTCAAAATATATACATATTCACTCATATATTCATCAATATTCACGATCAAAATTCACGAAAATTAACGCTTATGCATCCATATATATGATTAAACACATACACACATATTATCATACATTCACAATCATTATTGAACACATATCCAGTTAATTCATCAATAAACACATACATACACGTTATAGTACGTACATTCACAATCATGCATTATGCATATGCATTGGACACACACACACATGTATATTCAGGTATATATACTGATTTACTAGTCTTAATCAACTGAATTTACAATTAATCCTGTATAAAAATGAAGATCAGCTTTGATCATGATAGTCAAATATATGCATAATATATTTCGTAAATCCGTAATCATAATACGACGCATAAACAGGCTCTCGTTTCCGAAATTAATTAACGTACATATACATCTATATTCATGAACACACACATGGACACAATCGTTGACACAAACACACACTAATTAACACTAATTCCACCATAATATATTCACAAAAGTATTTCCGTATATTATCAATCAACTAAATACACAAAAACGCATACGTTTATACAATTCGTGAAGACCGAAACGACTAAGGAGACTTACGAAGCTTGACAATGAAGATAAGAAGCAGCCTCTGGCTGAAAATTAATCACCACATGCACGAGGAGAAAAATAAAAATGGAATTATTAGTTTTAGCTTAATAAATCTGAGCTTATTATAATGTACGCACATATGAAATTTCTAGAGAGAGAGATGAAATTAAAGGTGGGGAAAAGGAGAGATGAAATGAATGTTAAGGAAAAACGTACCAAGCGGAGGCCAAAAGAAAAAGAAAGAGAGAGAAGTGTCGGGATAGGGGGAGAGGAGGGAATGGAGGGAAGGATTTAAAACGCGAGAATCAGTTCAGTTGGATGGGTAGGAGTGGGAAGGAATTAACGGAGTACGTGACGGTGGAGCTTCTTTTGCGGGCAGAGACTGTTGTCAATTCTGTTACCAGTCTTTCAACCGGTGGTGGGTAAAATTTTCAGCTTTCCTTTTACCGGGGAAATGTGGAATACAAAGTAGGCGTTTGGACATAAGAATGGTAAAATTCAAAAAACTGGTGAAAAAAATTTTCAATTCAAAATAATATTTAAAACTTAGAGTTATGTTTGGACATAAAATTTAGTTTGGATTGTTTTTGAAGTTTTATGAGTGGTTTAAGTGAAAATTTTGAAAAATAATTTTTTGAAGTTTTTTAATTTTTCAAAAATTACCAAAATAGATCTTCTAAAATTGATAACACAACAAGACGTAAAATGCATGACTCACACCAGGTAGGCACACTACTACACAGATATCAGCAACAACAATGCCCCCAGAACATCACAAGTCATCACAAATTATCCCTGATATAGCCCGCCTTATCTCGCCACGTGCGCAACAATAAAGTAAATGTGCGCCTTGTTTCGCCACACGCGCATAATAATATTCTCAACTTGTCTTGCCACATGCGCAACCCACATATATAGCCCTCCTTGTTACGCTGCATGTGCAAATATCAATAATAACAATAGCACGAATAACTCGCGTGCGAACACCCCAACAATCCTCTCAACAATATCACGTGTGCCAAAACATAACAACACAATATAAGGTCTTTCACCACATGTGCCCATATGCCACAACTTTTTCTCAAAACAATTTCAATACTACAACCACGCATAGCCCTCGGCTCAACAATACTGAGTACAAAAGGGAATAATGATCTCAATAAGAATAGCTCAATAAGGGAAGAGATAATGTGCAATATTGATTCCACGTAGGTACAACTCGACAATAAGAGAGATAGCATGAAGCAATGATTCCAAATAAGAATAGGTCAACAGTGAAAGGACTAAAAAAAATTCAATTAAGGTTAAGCAAATTACATAAAGACAACATAACTTTAATTAAGGTTAAGCAATTATAGAAAATAAAACATAACTTCAATTAAGGTTAAGCAATTACAGAAAAGAAAATATAACTTCAATTAAGGTTAAGCAATTACAGAAAAGAAAATATAACTTCAATTAAGGTTAAGCAATTACGGAAATGACAACATGGCCGTAAAAGAGGCAACAACTTCAATAAAGGCACATAAGAGTTTAATTGGCAACAAGGGTAGAACATGAATCAATTAATTCCAAATAAGACATGTAAGGGTGAATTTAGTAAATAAAAAATTTAACATGATAAAACAACTTCATATCTAATGAACATAAGAACCTAAGAGCCCTAAACGGTCAAGTTTTCCACAAATAAGCGCGAGTACGTACTCGTCACCTCGCGTACACGGCCTTCACATGACCCAATTAGCACAAATGACTCAATCCTAAGGGGTAGTTCCTCCACACAAGGTTAGGCAAGTTACTTACCTCAAAATCACGCTAAATCAATCCACTAATAGGCCTTTCCCTCGATTATCCAATTCTGAACGACTCGAATCTAGCCAAAACGACTCCATACCATAAACATAAATTATAGGAAACTAATTCGAATAATAAAATTACAATCTTTATAAAGAAATAAAAAGTCAACTCAAAAAGTCAAACCAGGCCCGCGCCTCGGAACCCAACCAAAATAACAAAATCCGGACACACATTCGATACCGAGTCCAACCATACCAAAATTACTAAATTCCGACTCCGATTCGGCCTTCAAGTTTGGGAAAATTTCTATTCTAATCCCCTAAATCACAAAAATAGGTGCTGGAAATAGTGTTAGATTCATGAATAACAAACCAAATCAAGTTAAGATTACTTACCCCAATCCAATTTGTGAAATTTGCCTCTGAAAATCGCCCAAATCGAGCTCACCAACTCTAATTATGTTAAAATGGTGAAACCCCCATTTTTAGAAACCTCTCTAGGCAAGTCGTACTTGACACATGAGATTTATAAATCGCATTTGATACCTACGATTTGCCTCTATTCCCTCAAACACTAGAAAAACAGCAGTCTTTTCAAAAACTAATGTCGATTCACACCAAACCAACTCCGATTGACTTCAAATTTTGCACACAAGTCATAAATGACAGTACGGACCTATTTCAACTTCCGGAACCAGGGTCCGGCCCTGACATCAACAAAGTCAAATCCCGGTCAAACTTTTCAAAATCTTTTATTTTTTCCAACTTTTGCCAATTCATGACAAAACGACCTACGAACCTCCAAATCAACATCCCGACACACTACTAAGACCAAAATCACCATACGGAACTATTGGAACCATTAAAATGGCATTTCAAAGTCGTCTACACAAAAGTCAAATTCCGGTCAACTCTTACCGCTTAAGCTTCTAAAACAAGAATCCTTCTTCCAAATCAATCCTGAATCATCCGAAATCCGAACTAGACCACACACGCACGTCATAACACATAATATGAAGCCGCTCGAGACCTTAAGCCACCGAACAGTGCGCTAATCCTCAAAACGACCGGTCGGGTCGTTGCATTCTCCCCCTCTTAAATAAACGTCTGTCCTCGAACGTGCCAAGAACCCTTTCGAAGTCCTCAAATCACTAAATGAACTTACCATACATATATTCGCGGGTGATCCCACGTCACCCCAATCCACATAGGCTCGACGACACTATCCCAACTGAAAACTATTCTTTCCACCCACAGTGATAACCTTAGAACTAAATTTCTCACCTTCCGATCATTTCCAAAATACCCGATTCCCACACCGACACACGGTATCAGCCTCAACCAGCTGCAACAACTCATGCCTACACCCACCAGGTACAACCACACGACGTAACACATCACACATATGCTCATAACAACATCTCTGATCACAATAGCTCCCCATAATCAAATCCAGCATCGGCAATTAACCTCATATCCGCTAGAACCCTGTTCCAAACCTTCACAACATTGACAACGGTGCAAGAAACATGAAGACCTCATAACTATTCACTTGAATCAATAAGTCACATCTAACGCCAATTGGGCACATACCTCACAAGCTAAAACTCAATAAGTATAACACGAATATGACTGAATATACAATGAAACACATGAAAGAACAATCAAACAAGCCCGACAGGAACAACTTCCTATCAGTAGCATATTACAAATTAATTCCACAAGGGAGAATCAAAGTATATGAATAAATCACAAGGATCTCATCCTAATATAACTTCATTGCGGCACGCAGCCTGGTCCAAACCTCATGGAAACGCGAGGTTCCCATCTTTAGCTCTAAATCACAAGTAGAATACACATCATACCAACTGAAACCTTCCACTAATTTAATTTCCGCTAGCAAGGTCACAACACATGTTGAACTTCCACACCGGTAGAGCATCTAATTCATAAATCGTAACCAACCACCAAGAAATCACATCAAAACCTACTGTAGTGGGTAATAGAAAGTCATTTATAGTCTCATAGCTCTCAAGAGTGAACAAAACAAAATGACACACACGGGCTACCGTTATAGAATCTTCCAAAAGGGGTAAACACATAAGCAGAGTACAAAATCAATAAACTCACACATATGTGAAGCAAGATAAGAGGACTCACCCCGATAAGCAGAACTAAATCAAAATAAGAATGATGCCCCTCTATAACAATTGAAACCATATCTCTAACAATATCATCAGGTGCAGCGTCCTCAGCCCCACCATAGAAAGCATATCAACGGGTCGGGCCTCCCCCTATTGGACGCCCTCTACTCACCTGACCTGCACCCCAAGCTGGCGGTGTAGGGATATCAGCAACTGGAGCAGAACTTATAGCCTGAATACCCTATCGTGACACCTCTGTCCGGAGTCTGGGATAATCCTTCACCATCTGGCTGGTATCTCCACACTCAAAGTAACCCATCTGCTGGCGTGGCTGCGGAAATTATCTGGTATGGACACTCTGAGACCCATGGATATCTGAAGCAACGCGCGAAGCCTAAAGTGCAAACTAAACTGGCTGACCCACAAAACCTCTACCATAGCGTACCCTGCCTCCAAAATAGGGACTAGTAGATCCTCCCAGTCCACGCGGCTTCTTAGCCTCCCTGTCCTCTCTCTCCTCAACCCGCATGTCCCTTTTCTCCTGGTCCCGCATACCCTCTAATCGACGAGTGATCTCTACCACCTGCTGAAATGGAACATCGATCTCTAACTCCCGAGCCATGTTGAACCAGATATCATAACTGAGTCATTCAATGAACATGCGGACTCGCTCTCTAACTATAGAAACCAAAGCAGGTGCATGTCTGGATAAACCACTGAATCTAACGGCATACTCTCACACTGATATAGTGACCTGGCGCAGCTTCTCAAACTCCACGTGCCATGTCCCGAAAAGTCTAGGGAACAAACTCTCTCAAGAATATCTCTGAGAATTGAGTCCATGAAAGTGAAGTTGCATCGGCCGGGCTACCCAACTCGTACGTTCGCCACCACTGATATGCCACTCCCTTAAGTTGGAACGTAGTAAAAGCAACCTCACTTATCTTCACAATACCCATAGTGCGGAGAATATGGTGGCACTCCTCTAGGATACCATGTGCATTCTCTGAAGCCAAACCACTAAAGGTAGGACGGTAATACTTCTTGAACCTTGTAAGTCTAAGTTGTTCCTCCTCAGATGTTGCTGCCCTAAACACTGGCTGAATTGGAACAGCAGGCTGTGTCGGCATGACACCCAGAACATGACCAACATGGACTCTCTACTCTGGAGTACAGGCGGCAAAAGTCTGAGCTCCTCCCCGGGTCTGTGAAGTAGCTGGTGTAACCAGAATCAACCCCGCCCGAGCCAATATACCAAACACGCTCAGGAACTGTGCTAAGGTCTCCTGAAGTCCGAGATCAATAAATCCGCACAATAGAAATGAAAGAAGTGAAATTGTCTTAATAGTT